AGTTGCCTTTTGTATCTATGCTTCTTTTTCTATGTCTGCTTCTGTCTCCTTGAACCCCAGTGGGCCTCAGCAGATGGCCGCTCACACTGAGCCTGGTTCTGCTGGAGGTTTCTTCCTGTTCAAAGGGAGTTTTTCCTCTCCACTGTCGCTACAAGCATGCTTAGTGTGAGGGATTGCTGAAGAGTCAATGAGTCGATGCAATCAGCTGGTTTTCCTTAGATAGAAAACTTTGAATCAATCTGACTGGATGATCTGGTTGAACTGGAAAGTGACCTGAGATGACATGATGTGATTTGGAGCTATAGAAATAAACTGAATAGAACTGAAGGATGAGGAAGTGAAGGCTGCATTGTATCCCAGCTTGGGAGACCCCAGGATTCCCAGTTCATTTTTAATGTTTCCCACTGGGAAGACAAGAAAAGACTTGTCTGTTTGTGGAAAGTGTGAGCTGTGTTTTCTGGGCTGGATGTAGAGAACAGTTTGGGCTGAGTGGGGGGGGGGGGGGGGTTAAGGGGGAGGGGGCGCCCCCGCTGTAAAACCTGCTGACTGGACAGATTTCCAGGCCTCTGATTGGAGCCAGCCTGGGAGAGGCACAGAAAGCAGGAGAGCCCATCCAGTCACCTCTGAGGAGCTGAAACTTTCTGCCCACTTCTTTAAATTCGACTGATCGATGCTGGGATTAAAACGGACGAAGAACTGAAAACTGTTCCATCCTGGAAGTACAGATCTAAACGACCGGATGTGACCCTGGAAAAGTCCCCCTGGGGTCCATCTCTGTTGTTTACACGGTCCGCCCCCCATTTTTGTCCACTTCCAGGACGCCTTCGCTGCCATTTTATCTGTATGCTGATGACCGCCCAGTTTTCCTGTAAAATATACCGTTTCTGTTCAACCTCTAACGGATTTTTCTAAATGACATCAGGAGATGATTTCCTCTGAATTTCCTCAGTTTCCCTCTTTGGATCCAGAAATCCAAACAATATTCCTTCTCCTGAGAAATCCAGCATCCCTCATTCAGGACTTTAAACTGACCTGATGTTCTTGTAACCGCCGCAGTCGAGCCTTTTTTCAGTCCAAGCTGTCAAAGATTAAGCCCCTCCTGGCTGGACGCCATCTTGAAATCGTTGTCCGTGGGTTTTTTCTCCTCACACCTGAAGTCGACCGCTCCTTTGGGACTATAGTTGGCACCAAACGCTGCAGAACAGAACTATAATTCTCCCAGTAGGCCGGCCGCTTCCCATTGGTCAGAGCCGACGCTTCATCTGGAGTGAACTGGGCTGCTGGTCATCCAGTAATCCTCCATCACTTTAAACTGGTTTGAAAACTTTTAACCCAGCAGGAGTTCATCTGTTTTTTCTTTTGTTTTACTTTTAATCCACATTGATTTTGCTTTGATTTTTATGTATAGATTTTTATATGGAGTGGATTTTGTTCCATTATTGTTGCAAAAAAAGGAACACCTTTAAATAAAATAAAAATAAAACATGAAACAAAACAAAAAGAAACAATCCAAAAATGTAATTAAAAAACGTTCGAGAGTAAATACTTTTTTTTTTCGTTCGAGTTTAATTTATTGTATTTTTTCATACTGAAATTCTCGAAATTACATCTTTACAAATTTTGTTTTTATTTTATTATCTTTTATTGCTCCTCACTTCTGGGGGCGGGGCTTTTATCTGATATCAGGAGCAAAGAAGCATTTTTATTGGTCTGCTGGACGTTAGGAAGAACAATTTTGTTCGTCGAGAATTTAGTTTGAGGTGGAAGTGAAGAGGATTTGATCTGGAAAACGCAATTTGAAAAGAATGTTCGGGAAAAAATGTGAATTGTTTTTTTTTAGAAAAAAAAATAAATAAATAAAGGAAAAAAGAAAAATAAAATGTGTATTTTTAAAATTTCCATTTGTAAAATAGATTTTTTTTTCTTGCAAAAATGGACCCAATTTCCCCCCATATATTTATAGATATATGTTCTCCGTGCAGCACTTTGGTCAGAGCGATGGGCTGAGTGCAAGAGCTTCATCATCCAGCAGCAGTAAAAGCAACTAATGTGGGGGGGGGGCCCTCTTAGGACCCCCAGGAGGAGCCGGAGAGCGAAGCTCAGCAGATGCATCTCTGACTCTTTGCAGGAAGCTGTGTTACAAGTTGGTCCAAAAAAAGTAAATAATTTAAAAGTTATCTCTGGTTTCTCCAGGTTCCTTTGCACCATAAACCACCTCAGCACAGCTGGGCTGAACCTGCAGTTCGAACGCTGCTGCTTTCTGTCAGCAGAAACTGAATCAATGTGACCTAAATAACCGCCGGCTTTATTTTTAGGGCTTCGTCATTTAGAGATCAATGAATTGACTTTTCCTCCATTCAATTAGTTGGTTCCCTTAAAATGTGGCGGCACCACGAGAATCGGACCATGGCAGCAGGATGACAAACGGGGCGGAGTCCTCTGAGACCTATGGCCCCGCTGGGCTACGACGCAATAAGCTAACGCTGGGCAAACGCTTTATTTCTTCCTTCTCACTGCAGGAAATGTCTTTGAACAACAATCTTTTAATTATTAGTTTAACATAGAAAAAAGAAGCTAAACTTTTGCTTAAAGCCTTTGGATTCATTTGCTTCTGCTTGATGTTAACAGAATAAATAATAAATTACATAGTTTTCAATTTGAGGAGGAAGAATATGCATCCAAAATAAAATCAATGTCACTTTATTTTATGGAAATGAAGTAGAGGTAAATCCAGCATCTGTATTTAAAAATAATTTTGGTGGAAAGTCCAAAAAGGTCGGCTGTAGAACCGGTTCTAGTCGCCGCTCAGGTGATGGAATCGGTGCGAAGTTGGGCTGAACTTGATGACCCAGTTTCAGCTGCTGGACTCACGTTAAACTGCAAAATCCTTCAAGGTCATCTGGCTGCAGAACAAGCCCAAAGCATCATTCCTCCACCTCCGTGCTGGAATCGCTGCCTGGGAGGTTCTCCTCTCTGCAAAATATCTGATCGCTTGAAGGTGACCTGATGACCCTTCCCAGGTCGATGGGAGGGGCCGGCCGCTCCTCTGAGGTCATGCGGACGTCGTTCTGCCTCGGCGGCGTCGTCTTCACACCTGTCAGACTGACTGAAGGAGCTTCTCGCTCTCTGATCCCTTCTGTTCGCTTCCAAGATGATAAAACACTTTAACTTTAACTGTTTTCAGCCTCATTGACCTTCTGCTTTTACTGCATGGCCGACTGAGACAGCCGCCATGTTTTTATTGAAGGAAACGTGTTATTTGGGGGGGGAAGCCCCCCCCCCCTGATTCCTCTGGTGCTTTAAAGTTTGAAAGAATTTCCTGTCAGTGAATGAAGGGAAATCCAGGCAGCTTTTCCTGCAGTGGAAGGTGATTCCTCAGAACCTGCTGCTTCGTTCCTGAACCTGAAAACAATCAGAGACAGACTGTGATCCAACATCAGAGCCCGTCAGCACAGAGCCAATCAAAACAGATCAACAAGCCGGCACCTGCTTCTCCGCAGGTTACAGCATCTCTCCTGATAGAATATATCCGGGGATGTTTTCCAGAAACACTCCTCAGGGAATTTAGCAAACGGTTCTGCAGGTTCTGGTCCGACTTCATGCATCTGATTGGCTCAGCTACAAATACAAAGAGAAATGTTTTCATATAAATTATTTCCAACTAAGTAGAACCAATAAATTAATAAACATCTCAAAAAGCAGAGATAAAACAAGTAAATGTTTACGTGAGATAAATAAAATAAGATAGAAAGACATTTAATTCCTTTAAAAATAGTAAAATTCTGAAAGCGAAGCAGGAAGTCTTTTTAATTCAGTTATTTGTTTTTTTATCGTCTGGTTTTTGTAGAGTCCAGCCCCCAAATTGTGAGAATAATGATCATCAGGATGCTGATGCTAATAATCACACATTAAAAAGCTAAATTAGAGACATTAAACAAACGAATCAATGTGTTTTTAGGAGTTGGAGGAAGATGGAGTACCCAGAGAGAACCCATGCATCCTCTGAGAACATGCAGTTTATTAGTAGTTACTTCTAAAAGTAGAATGGGAGGCAGATCTTTTAGTTCTCAGGCTCCTCTCCTGTGGAACCAACTACCAGTTTTAGTCCGTGAGGCAGACACCCTGTCTACTTTTAAGGCTAGGCTTAAAACTTTCCTTTTTGATAAAGCTTATAGTTAGAGTGGCTCAGGTTATCCTGATCTATCTCTATAGTTATGCTGCTATAGGCTTAGACTGCTGGAGGACATAGGGACCCCTTTTTCATCATTCTGCTTCATTCTATCTCTATTCTCCCTCTCTGCAGAATCTGTTAGTTCAATCTCTAACGTTCTGCTCTCTCTGCTTTTTCTCATAGTAGCTTCATCTGGTCTGTTCCTGTTTGGCTGTGACTCCATCCTGGAGAGAAATATCAGCTGTGCTGCTGCCATCAACACCTTTGTTTCTAGATGTTGGAGCTTGGCCTGTTTTCCAGTGTAGTCCTGTTTCTCTGACTGTGACTAACTGGATGTGCTCTCTTCATCCTCTGACATGGGAGCTGGCTCGGAGCTCGTCTGCCTGGCTGTGTGTTTCCTGGACGGGGCCGCCTGTGGAGCTGGTTGACAGTTGCCTTTTGTATCTATGCTTCTTTTTCTATGTCTGCTTCTGTCTCCTTGAACCCCAGTGGGCCTCAGCAGATGGCCGCTCACACTGAGCCTGGTTCTGCTGGAGGTTTCTTCCTGTTCAAAGGGAGTTTTTCCTCTCCACTGTCGCTACAAGCATGCTTAGTGTGAGGGATTGCTGAAGAGTCAATGAGTCGATGCAATCAGCTGGTTTTCCTTAGATAGAAAACTTTGAATCAATCTGACTGGATGATCTGATGAACTGGAAAGTGACCTGAGATGACATGATGTGATTTGGAGCTATAGAAATAAACTGAATAGAATTTAATCCATAAAAATGTTGTTTTTCTTTGGATTTTTTAAAGATGTTTAACTTCCTTTTATCTCTGTTTTATCCTCCAGTCAACGAGATCATCCGGAACGACCTGTCCAGCATCTCCGTCCACAGCCATGCATAGGCTCCGCCCACAACCTGCATACTTATCAGGAAATGGAGAAAAAAGGGGAAACTGATTGTTGGCCTGCAGGGAGCAGCAGGAGGAAATGCAACCAGAACAATCGCGAAAACATTTTCCAGACTTCCAGGGTCCAAGATGTGCCTTCAGCGTCTCGTATTCCTCCTCTTCAGGTAGAATATTCCCGGGAACGCGTCCCTGAGAGAACTGCAGCATCCCAGACTCTGTCCTCCCTTTAACGGATGCTTCCAGAGGACCAAAGCTGTTTTCGTTTTCTGTTTTACTGTAGTGCCTACAGATGATGCTATGTATGAACAGCCTGTGCTTTTTCTTATCAGCTTTACTGAAAAAAAAGTGCCTTTTTTAAACTGGAAATGAAGACAAACATGTTTGATGTGTTGCTTTAAATCATTTTAGCTTCAGTTTGTTTCTTCTAAAACAAACTAAAATGTTTCTTTTAGTTTCTGAGCATTAAAGGAAAAGTCCGTCAATTTAAGAATTCAAACTTCTGAAAGTTCTTTAAATCTGAAATGATTCCATCCTGTTCAATAAATGATCAGAGTTTTTAATTCAGAGTAATTTTCATGTGAATGTGCTTTACTGGAGGCATCCATGTTTGTCAAAGAACACTACTGCCACCTACTGGTTAGTGACGTCACGGTGCGGTATCGGCTGTTGATCAAGTCCCAGTGCTGTATCTGGTGTTTGTCACAACGCGCTATTATCCAAGTCATCTTGAAAACATTCTTCTTCCAAATGTTGGCTACATATTACGGGTTTTTTCTCTGGCCAGAAGTTCGATGGCAAATCCTCCCTCTTCAAGTTGGCGATCCAACGACCAACCCGTCCGTGGAGGATCAGGAATCAGAAAGGTGGAATAACTTTTTTTTCACTTTTACCCGATGTATTCCAGCATCCAGCTGCCATGCACGTGGGCATTGTCAGTTTCACTATAGCTCTGGTGAATTTCAATGGTGAAGTCCTCTGGAAATCTTCAATAATTGTTGTTGATTGCAGATGTGTCTAGTAGTTCCCATTGATTTAGCTTGGAAAGCGGGGAGAATGGCGCTAGGCTTACCGCACCGTGACGTCACTGCTGGAAGATGGCAGGAGGGAGGGGTTACTATATCTGGGCAAAAATGGCCGCTCCCAGACTCAGTGATTTTTGAGAAAAAAAATTGTTTTGTCTGATTGACGCTAAATTTTTAGATAATGATCCGTTGATTATTCCTTGCAGAGCAGATTTTTCCTGCATCCTCCCTGAAGCTGCTTGTTTCTGCAGAGCTGCATCTCCTTCCTCACTGATCTCCAAATGTTCTGATCCAGATGTCTCCAGATGTTTCATTCCTAACAGAAAAGCTTTAAATGTTCATCCAGAGACTCCATGCATGGACCTGTCCCATGCAAACTGGCCTCCTTTCTACCTGCGGGTGTCGCCCTCTGGTGGCCATTAGACAGACTACACGTTTAAGGCTCTGGCTTAATCATCCAGCACCTTTTCTGCACTTTTAGGTCACAGTTAGTGCAAAAAAACAAACAGTCTATAAACCAAAGCAGTGACTTTAGTCCCAAATGTCTCAAATACAAAACAGAAATAAAAACCATTAATTTCAAAGCAGCAGGTACACAAATTAACTCGTGTATAATTGTTTTAAACTACAGTCAAACTAAACATAAACTATAAATACGATGCACTATATATATCTAAATTTATAATGAATTTACCTAAAATCTATCCTTTCGGAGCATTTGGAGGCATATTTAAAAACAGCAGAAGAAATATAATTAAATCAGGATTTTAAAAGAGCTCAAACTGTTTTCTGTATTTTCTTCAGTTTATCTTTAGCTTCGTGTTTTCATGTCGCTTAAAGGCGAGTAAAGTTCCCAACGAACAGGTTTGAATATTTTCCACTTATCTTCTGTCCGATCAGTGGGAATTTCTCCAAAGATTCATTCCATCCCAAAAAAAAAAGAGCTAAAACTTTAACGTTTAGCTCATTTTCACATCATTTCTCCACTTTCTGACATTCAAAGCTGAATAAGAAACTTTTTAAACTTCATTTTTTTTTCTGAGATCCATTTTCTCTTAATTTGCATGTTTGATTTTCGCAGCAGGTCCAGCGTTTGCATACATGAAGGGAATTACCAGTAAAGTGACGGATGTGGTTTTCTGGCACTGAAGCCTTATGCAACATGACCTTTCTCAGCCACCGTACTCTGATTTGTTTTTCTCCTGTAAATATTCTGATCAGATTTTAAAAAAAGGGAAAAATCTCTTATTTCCTACGTGGATTTTTAAAACTCTGTTTTATTTTATTCCTCAGGCCTCTTAAAGCACACTTTGAAAAACTTGATCTCTTACAGGAAAAATGATTTTTTTGCTTTTTAAAAGCTGACATTTGATCTGGAAGTTTGATAACTGATGGTTAAAGATCTATAGAAACCTTCAGCGCTCTGCACAGCCGCACGTTTAAATACTCACTTTGTATTTTTATATTCCTGACCCAGACCTGCCTGTTCTGGATTATCGGCTCCTTTTACCAACATGCTGTCTTTTATGTATTTATTAGTCTTAATCTGTGTATCTGAGGAGGAAGAGAAGCCATGTTTACTGAGTAGATTCTTGTCCCTGAACATCTCGTAGCTCCACTTTATCATTTCCTGTATTTGTCAAATAAAAATGAATTAATGTGTTTAATCTGAAGAGTGTTTGATTTTCCTCTCCTCCATCTGGATGCATCATCTCTGCAAAGAGCTGTGAGAATATTTGTTTAGCACCTGCCTGATGCAAAGCAAACCTTATGTCATTTAAATCATTTCCATATTTGAAAAGAAAAATTACTGTTTTCTGAAGCTTTGCGGAGAATTCTAAGAAACTAATTGTTAAAGGAAAATTTTATATATTTTATTACTGTGAAATAATATTAAAAAAATGCAGGTCAATAAAATGTCCTTTTTTCATCTAGATCTCTATAACTGATTTAATTCACTAATTAGAAATTATTTTTAAATTATCAAAAATAATAATTTTTTAAGATATTAGGCCCAAGAAAGAAAATAAATATTTTTTGCTGATTTTTAATCAACATTAGAATTCAGTGAGATCAAATTCACATAATCTAGATCTATTGTAGATCTAGATCAATCAGATCATCCTGTCAGATTAAATGATTAAAGTTTCTCTCCAAGTAAAAACCATCTAATTGCATCCAGTGATTCACTTTAAAGGATTTTCTCCTCCTGGATGAGCAGGCAGAAGCAGTAGATATCGACTCTTCAGCAATCCCTCACACTAAGCATGCTTGTAGCGACAGTGGAGAGGAAAAACTCCCTTTGAACAGGAAGAAACCTCCAGCAGAAGCAGGCTCAGTGTGAGCGGACCATCTGCTGAGGCCCACTGGGGTTCAAGGAGACAGAAGCAGACATAGAAAAAGAAGCATAGATGCAAAAGTCAACTGTCAACCAGCTCCACAGGCGGCCCCGTCCAGGAAACACACAGCCAGGCAGACGAGCTCCGAGCCAGCTCCCATGTCAGAGGATGAAGAGAGCACATCCAGTTAGTCACAGTCAGAGAAACAGGACTACACTGGAAAACAGGCCAAGCTCCAACATCTAGAAACAAAGGTGTTGATGGCAGCAGCACAGCTGATATTTCTCTCCAGGATGGAGTCACAGCCAAACAGGAACAGACCAGATGAAGCTACTTTCTAAATAAAACCGTTTTCTTCTTTTGGCACATTCTTCTCCTTTGACTACTTTGAGCTGATGCAAAGAGTAAATGTCTCCACTGTGAAATCAATGAAGTCAATCAATCGATTAAAACACGGGTCAGACATGAAGGCCTCATCATCTTATTTGGGTGCAAAAATGAATGAATGAAACCTGAGAAAAGCGTCTGAGCTGGAGGAGCTTTCAGCTGATCCTAAAAACCGTTTAACCAGTTAGTGAGAAGAACATTTAAACGTTTGACCAAGTTCCTCTAATATATAATTGAACATTATTGATCTCACATTGGAGAAATTTATCTCTGCATTTAACCCCTCCCCTTGGGGAGCAGTGGGCTGCCATTGTGCGGCGCTCGGGGAGCAGTGTGGGGTTAAGGGTCTTGCTCAGGGACCCAGAGGGGCAGTCTGTGATAGTGGGACTTGAACTCATACCTCTGGATTCCAAGCTCTACGCCTTAACCGCGAGGCTGACACTTCCCTACTACTTTTCCTCTAAGGGAAGTAGAGAATGGAGAGAAAGAAAAGGGGTTTTCCCTTTTCTTTGGCCTAAAACTGATGAGGAAACATCTGTTTAGTCTGAATCTGAATTATATTTTTCATCAGAATTTTGCCCTCTGCTCTCTCTGATTGATGCTTTGTCTGTTATGCAAACCAGAGGAGGTTGTTGACTTTGCTCAGCCTTCTCCTCACCTGCTGGTTCAGCTTTTAGGGAAATCAGTAACTGATTTAATTCTGAGCGTCCAGGTTTTCTTCAGACTCAGCAGCAGAACATCACAGGTGAGTTTGAATTCTGTTTCCAGATGGTTTCATAACTTTAAACCCCAATAATTATGTTAAGGATGAACCTCCTGAATAGCTAGAATACTAAAGTTCTGAGAACATCTCTGACAGGCCCTCAGAAAGTTCTTAAAAAAATCTAATTCTTTAAGCATTAAAGAAAAAAATGTTGATTACACTTTAAAGTTTCCAAAGAAACAAGAGAATCAGTTTTTATCTGGCAAAACGTTTTATTTCTTAAATCAATTTTAGCTGAAAATGGATCAAAGTGTCGAGTTTTTTTCAAGCTTTTCCAAAAAAGGAATTTTGAAAAAATCTTGAAAAAAGAGACGGCTATTTATTTATTTATTGAAACACGCACATTTCGACCTGCAGACCTCTGTAAGGACAGTTTAATCCTCATTAAGGGAGACGATGGAGGTTCAGGTGGTCAGAGGAAGCGGACCCAGAAGGTTCTGCTCATTAGATGGAGGGAAGAAATCCAGATATTATCCTGAATCTGTCTGGAAAAAAAATAAAATCAGAATAAAGCTGAGATTGTGACGAACATGAAAAACAGATGAAACTTTGTTCCAGATTGCTTTGATATAAACTAGTATCACAGAAATAATCTGAAATTTAAGGAACTAGTTGAGTTTATTTAATGAGGATCAATAGATGATGATGGCTAAATGATAAAGAGAGGAAATGGGTAAAATATATAAGATGACTGTCAATAAAAACCTATAACTAGGCTTCTACATTTATTAAAGGAAGTCAGTGTTGGCTTCCTATTTGCTCCTTGTTTTTGCTCGTTAATATGTGTGAGATCAGATGTTTCCTCTGCGAGAATTTAAATTACAACATTGTGACAAATAAGAATCAGAAATTTATAAGAAAGAATCAGACAATTACAAGAAAGAATCAGAAATAAAAAAAAAAGTAAGAGAATTGTATAAGAATGAAGTGTAAATTTACAAGAAAGGATTAGGAATTTACAAGAATTAATCAGAAATTTATAAGAAAGAATCAGACATTTAAAAGAAAGTATAAGAAATTTATAAGAAAAAAGGAGACATTTAAAGGAAAGAATTAGAAATTTATAAGACAGAATGAGAAAATTATAAGAAAGAATGAGAAAGAAGAAGAAATTTTCAAGAAAGGATTAGGAATTTACAACAATGAAGCAGAAATGTATAAGAATCAAAAATCTATAAGGAAGAATCAGAAATATAAAGGAAAATATGAGAAATTCATAAGAAAATATCAGACATTTACAAGAAAGAAGCAGAAATTTTCAAGAAAGGATTAGGAATTTACAACAATGAATCAGAAATCTATAAGAAAGAATCAGAAATTTAAAAGAAAGTATAAGAAATTTATAAGAAAGCAGCAGACATTTAAAAGAGAGTATGAGAAATTTATAAGAAAAAAGGAGACATTTAAAAGAAAGAATTAGAAATTTATAAGACAGAATGAGAAAATTATAAGAAAGAATGAGAAAGAAGAAGAAATTTTCAAGAAAGGATTAGGAATTTACAACAATGAAGCAGAAATGTATAAGAATCAAAAATCTATAAGGAAGAATCAGAAATTTAAAAGAAAATATGAGAAATTTATAAGAAAGTATCAGACATTTACAAGAAGCAGAAATATATAAGAAAGAATCAGAAATAAAAAAAAATCAGAAATTTAAAAGAAAGTATGAGAAATTTACCAGAAAGGATCAGAAATTTATAAGACAGAATGAGAAAATCATAAGAAAGAATTAGACATTTATAAGAAAAGTAGAACAAAAAAAAAATCTGAAATTTAAAAGAAAGAATCAGACAATTACATGAAAAAATTAGACATTTATAAGAAAGAATCAGAACTTTAAAAGGAAGAATGAGAAATTTACCAGAAAGGAGCAGAAATTTATAGGAAAGAATCAGACATTTAAAAGAAAAAAAATCAGCAAATGAACTGAATTGAAGATGAAACTGTGATGGTGTGATTTTTTACAGTGCTATGATGGAGGAGGATTCTCACACCAATAACTCGTCCTCTGGTGAAGATAAAGGCTGTTTAGAGGAAGAAGGATATCTGGTTAGTCTAGCTCTAATCAACGTCTTCACCTTCGTCATCGGTCAGCCTGTAACAGCCAGACTGCTGTGGATCACCTTCACCGCCAGGAAGTCCATCGATATCCTTAACTGTAACTTAGCTCTCTTCTACAACTTCCTGTACCTGGCATACATGCTGCACCTCATCTTCCTGTTCGTCTTCCAGCAGCAACAGTCGGACCTCCTCAATAGTTTATTAATTTACAGCCAAGTTGGAGGCTCCATGGGTTTATGTTTCATATGCATGGAGCGGTACGTGGCCGTGATCTACCCCACCTCATACCCTCTGCTGAAGAAGTACAGGTGGAGGGAGGTCTGTGTGGGGACAGTCTGGCTCAGCTGTCTGTCCACCTTCACACTGAACACCTTGGCCAAGGACAACATCTCCTCCCTCATACAGAAGATGATTAAAAACATCCCTCCCTCAGTCATGCTGCTCATGACCGTGCTGATGGCGTGCTGCACCGTCAGAATGGTCAGGGTGCTGATGAAGTCCAGCCCAGGACGTGACAGACTGCATCCCGCCAAGAGGAAAGCCTTCAGAATCATCTGGGCAACCACGGCCATAAACCTGCTCTTCTACATCCCGGTTGCTTTGGTGCAGAAGTTGAATCAGGATGAAATCTGGTTCCAGTGCACTCTCACCCCCGTTTTATTGCTCATTTTATCGGCTGCCAGTGTTGTACACCCAATGTTTTACCTTTCCACCAAGGGGGAGCTGTTTCCATGCTTAAAGAGGCGGATTTAAATGACTGAAATGTAAAGCTGTGTGACCGCAGAGACATCTGGCAGAGAGAATAGGCTCCGACAGTCGGCCTCAGCAGATGGCCGCTCACACTGAGCCTGGTTCTGCTGGAGGTTCCTTCCTGTTCAAAGGGAGTTTTTCCTCTCCACTGTCGCTACAAGCATGCTTAGTGTGAGGGATTGCTGAAGAGTCAATGAGTCGATGCAATCAGCTGGTTTTCCTTAGATAGAAAACTTTGAATCAATCTGACTGGATGATCTGGTGAACTGGAAAGTGACCTGAGATGACATGATGTGAATTGGAGCTATAGAAATAAACTGAATTGAATTGACAATTCAAACTAATTCTTTCCTTTTGTTTTCAAACTAAAGCAAAAAGAAATTCATTATAATTGTAACAAAGAACAAAACGAATAATGTGGGTTTTAAACAAGGAAAAATTTTAAAATCTTTTCCATCCCTTTGTTTCCAAATTTGAAGACGTTTCTCTTCCCAGTTTTTTCAATTCAAAATGTCAGAAATAGCGTTTAGTTCCAGGTTTTATCCAGCAGCCCAACAAAGCCTGGTTTTAGTTTAGAAAACATGCAAATAGAAACGGATGAACGGGTCCCCCCCTTTGGAATGGGGGTCGTTTGGCTTCTTTGTTAGCCTGCAATGCCCCATACCTGTCTATGTCTCTGAAAGGGGGGGTCGTTACACTGGAAAAACCTAGAAATAAGTAAAAAATGTCTTAAATTAAGTGTATTTCCCCTTAATTTGAGCAGGTAAATGAGATAGTTTGCCAATGAAATGAGTATTTTTACTCTTAAAATAGGATAATTAGATAAAATGCACTTGAAATAAGACAATGCAATTGTGTTTTCTTATTTTAAATGTAAATTGTCTTGTTCTATTGGCTAAATGTTTCTCTTTCCTCCTCAATCCAAGAACAAATGCAGCTATTTTTAGAAAAAAAAATGACTTATCTAGATTTAGATTATTTCCAGTGTGGGGGGGATGGTTGGCCTGGCTATGTTGTCTCCTATGTTTCTACAAAGATATTCAGAAATACTTTAATAAACCCAGAGGGAAATTACTTTTGTTACACGCTCCAGTTACAGTTATATACAAAACCAACCACACAAGATAATAAAGATAAAAATATGTACACATATAGCTCTTCTGTATATATATATATATGCATAAGGCAGTGGTATAGGGAACCACCTCATGGTGGGGCCCTTGGGAGCCCTAAGAAAGCACCGACGGCAGCACGGCCTCAGTAAATCGTTGCCAACCCCCCCAAAGGATGTGATGAACAGTTTGTAATGAAACTGAAATCTCGATTAGAATGCAAATTATAGGTTACAATAAAGAAATTGATTGATTAAAACAAACAAGAGAGCAGATTCTTCGATCTACTTTGTAAAGATCCAAGAATCTGTACAATATATTTATCATAAATTCATTGTAGCTATCAGTGTTGTATAAAGTACTGAAATCTCGGAGTCCAGTAAAAGTATAAGTACCTCCAAAATATGACTTTGGTAAAAGTCCGAGTCACTGAAATGTTACTTGAGTAAAAGTCTTAAAGTATCTGAAATGGCTTCTATTTAAGTATAAGAATTACTGCAAAAATAGATGTACTCAAGTAATGTAGTGAAAAGTAATAGTAAAAAGTAAATGCAGTTTGAATGACATTTTTTTTAAACATTTTTGGAAACTTTGAAGGTTAAATTCACTTAAAATAAAATAAACAACCAAATGTAGGATAAACTTAGACTGGCTTTACTGGTGTTGATGAACGAACCCAGGCAAGAGTAACTAAACCAAATATTGAAAATGTATCCGAGTAAAAGTATGCAATTCAGTTTGTAAATGTACTGAACAGGGGCGGAGCTAGATAGGGGGCCAGGGGTGACCATTCCCCCCCCCCCTTTAATTGGTGGCAGCAGTAATACTCTCAAGTGGCATATAAAAAAAAATGTGGTTAATTATACACATAAACATACTAACATTAAAGATGATAAGTACAGAATTCATGCTCTTTTCAGAACTAGATTCTGTGTTATATGGAGTAAAGAGAAAATGATGTGTCTCTGCAAACCATCTAAGAGTCTTCAGAGAAATCAAAGATAAAATAACAGTTTTAATAAAAAAATTATCAAATAATCAATTTATGTATATATTAGTGCTTGTAAATATCAATTTTAAGCAAAATTTTAAGCAGAATATTCATGATAAAGTAGTAGTAATGGCAATGGAAGAGATTTATGCCCCAGAACTCAAAACTATGCCTTTTATCTAGAAATGACTGATGTAGTGGCATGATAGAGGTCTCATCATGGAGGGAAGCTGGGCGTTTCCACCACCACGAGTCTCCACTATCATGCAAGCATACCGCATGATATGTGGTAGTTGCTGATCCTCGATCACCCAACTGTTAGGGGATTGTCCACCCAGTGTGTGAAGTCTGGATTCGGCGGACAGCGCGGAGGAACTACCTCTTGTGATCAACGGGCTGAAAGGCGATTGCCAGCAATGCTTCGTGGAGCGCATAGGGTGTGACAGGACGCGTAGGATGCCACGGCCATCCACTGCATCCATTCCCGTCTCCAGTTGTCTTGCCCTGTCTTGCCACTGGGTCTAGACGGTCTCGGATGAGAGAGTGAGGTTGACGTTGCGCAACTCTTCCTCACTTTAAACAAAGTCATAGCGCAAGTCATCTATCATCCTTCCATCCCATCCCCTTCAAGAACAGATGTTTAAATATATGCGTCTTTTTGTTAGCAAAGGCAGTAGGAAAGTATATTTTGTCTTTATTTCGAAAATATGGATGTTTTTCTCATTTATTTTCCTGTTGGAACAGTGGAGATTGACCCTGAGGTTCTGGTGCCGATCCACTTTCGGCCACCCCTCAGTATACATTGGTTATTACCTGGCCACCCTTATAAAAAATTTCTGGCTATGCCCCTGGTAGTGAAGTAAAAGTGAAAGTTCTCAAAAAATGTATACTCTTGGAAAGTATAATGTACTACAAAATATACTTAAGTACAGTAGTGAAGTATTTACTATACAACACTGGTAACTATGTATTATGATCAATTAAATTAAAACAGAAATATGTGCATCTTCTGTATAAAACAAACCATTTAATGAATGAATAAAGATGTATTGGAAATTTGTGACATTTAATCCACCGTTGTTTATTTATTTCAGTAACTTTCCACCATAACTGTAGTTCTCTGTTTCTCCCATTGAAAATTACCGTAGCGTTAACAGATATGTCCTTGTAATTTGGTCTTGATGTAAAATCCCGAAATCATATGTAAGATCTAATTACCATAATGTAATAAATGCATGTATATTACATGAACATCATCACCTTAGCACGTTTGGCTCATCTGTATTATTCTGCTCCATTAACACATTAATCTTATTCTGATTTATTTGCATAATATGTTATATTACATGATTTATAGACTTCATAATGATGCAATATATGATTATTTTTTTATTCTAAGTTAAAGTTAATCTACTGATGCTGTGAAACAGCCAGTCTGTGTCAAAGTGATGAATTTATCTTTATTTTTTAAACTCTTTGGTCCCCCTGAAAATGAGAACATCATCGTTGTTCGATGCTGCAGCGCACAGATTGTTTATATTGAGACTGGTCTAAGTAGGGAGTACCAATATGGCCGCCGGTGGCTTCCCTTCAACCCTGTACTACCAACGGGTAATAAATAGAGATCAGTGGGGGAGGCCCCAGTCTGTGGTTTGTAATTCATTCATTGAACCACTAGAGGGGGCTAAATCAAACACACTATTGACAGAAACTATCTGCACCACAAACTGATTAAAAAGTATTTCACAGGGAAACATGAATCATCCAGCAGAGGAAAACGACAGGAGCAGGCAGGAAAACACGGACCGAAGCTCCGTTCCCAGGAAAACAGAGCAGGACTTCATCCCATCAGAGGTTTAACCAACGCAGAGATGTTTGAATAAATGTAGACCTGAGAACACAGCAGATCTGCACAATGACATCATACCAGCAGGAGAGATACTCATTCTGCAGCAAAGTGGAAAATAATGAATTACTGTGTTAAAAAAAGAGGCAAAAACATCAACGTTTCTAGAATAATACTTCAATTTAAAGGGACAGTGTCTAATAAATTAGAATTTTATGAGACTACATCAAGTATTGCTTTTATAAATACGTATTCTGCGAAGATCTAATCACACAACATCAAAAATGAAAGTGTCCTCATAGCTTAGAAGTAGTTCATAAATACATAGGAGGCGGAGCATCCGATGGGAGACGCCATGTTGTATCACCAGCTGTGATCAGAGCAGCTGAAAGCGGATTAGCTTGTCATTCTTACGTATTTATTTTTATTATGTTTTACAGTGTCCTTTCTGGCCATATGGCAATAAGAATAATTGTCTTGATGCCAAAAAGAGCCCAACAGATTTTGCTATCGCCATAGTGTTCCGCTTGATTTATGCGTATAAATAGCTTTATTATAATTCATGCAGGGAGTTTTATAGATTATATGGACACTGCAATGTAAGTAGAACAGGAAGGAAAAATAGAAAAAAGGAGTAAAGATGAAAGAAAGAGGAGATGAAAGGGAGAAAATGATAAAACATATTCAGTCTGCTTCATCACCTGCAAAGAGATGTAAAAAGAACAGCACAACCAACGGACATAGTATAAGAGATACAATAAAGTAACATCTTGATACTATCGCTGAAGTATAAGTAGTATTATTTAATCTGACATGTATACCAGTGGCGGCTGGTGAAAAATATTTTTGGTGGGGCTGATATAGCCTAGTGTATGTCTCCAACTAATCCGGAATAAGAATTCAAATAAACAATTGGAAATGAAATACAATTTAACAGTAATAATTTTAATTTACTATATAATAACAGTAACAGTGATGATTTGGGTCACTGTGATGGGGTTCTTTGGCCTCCAAGAATCCAGGCTCAGTCGGGTTACCGGTGTTGGTGATTTAT